ACCGCCTACGCCCACGCCGAGCACGCGCAGTCCTGGCCGTCCATCAACGTGAGTGGGGCGCCCGCGTTCCGCCCACCTTGGACCGGGCCTTGAGATTGAGACCCCAGAGCTTCACGCTCCGTTGGGGGCCCTGCCCCTTTCGGGTGTCAGCGCACAAACTATTCACCCTCCTTGAACCCCGGGCCACAGTCTAGGTCCCTTCACCTCCCTTTCTCGAGGTCATCTGTCACCAGAAATTGGGGCCTGCCCCATTAAGATTTCGTTCATTTCCTTGGATGAGGATATGGTCTTTGGAGTGAGTGACAGTTCTGCCTTTGATTCCGAACACCAGCACTTAATAGCTGTGGGACCTTGTGCAAGTTACTTTCCTTTCTGATCCTCAATATTCTCATCTGCAAAATGGGGATAATGATTATAGTATCTGATTACCTTATAGGGTTCTTAAGAAGCAGGCAGTGAGCCTAAAGCAGTCAGCACAGTGCCTGGCTCAAGCATTTGCTATTATATTGGCTATGGTAATGGTGGCTACTGACCATAGCAGGCCACCAGCCAACACACAAACAGGCCTGTTTATCCAGCTCCCTCCTTCAGGCCTCAGAGCGCTTGCCCTTTTCTGTCAGTCCTGAAAGACAGAAGCCTATCTCAGGGCTCAATCGTTTCACTGAAATAATGAGTTCCCTGAATGTCAAAGCCACCCATTGCAACCTGGAAAGACCAAAATATACTCCAAAGCCAGACAGAAAATTATTTTGGGGTTGTACCTTGTTTAGGATTGTCCATTGCTTTGAGTTATCCGGGAGCTGTGTCTTAGTCACTCTGGGGGCATGTCTGGGTCTTGGTTTCCCTCCTTACCACAGATGCCGTGGCAAGCTGAGCAGTGACTCTCTCATACCTGCCTCCTGGGGACCCTGTCCCTGGGCAAGTGCGTGGACACAGCTGGTGTGGGGGAGGACAGTGCTGAAGAAAGGGTGGCTGAACCCCTCCTGCATGCCACAGCCCTGTCTGCCCTGGGTCCTGGGACAGGGCAGGCTGGGATGTGGGTACCATGAGTGGGGGCTGGGGACCATAAGTGACTTCCTTCTCTCCCCACAGTTGCTGATGGAGACGGTGGGCTCCGACATCCGCAGCTGCCCCCTCTGCCAGCTGGGTTTCCCTGTCGGGTACCCGGATGATGCCCTCATCAAACACATTGACTCCCACCTGGAGAACAGCAAGATCTAGGGCACCACCCCCACCCACTGGCTGTTTCTCTGTCCTCTCCTGTCACCCCCAAACACTCACTTTGAATGCTGCATGAATTTCGTGGGGGGTCCCTGCCCCTTGCGACCCCCAGATACCTCCACTTGCTACCGAGTCAACGTGCGTGCCGTCTTCCCTGGTCCAGGCACCACTCAGCTCTGGCTCTTCCTGGGAGGTCAGTCGAGGCTTCTCCCATGCTCCTGGTTTCTGCTTGGGAGGTGGGGACTTGGGCTGGGATGGGGATGGCATACCCCTCCCAGGCCTCTCCTTCTGCCTTTCTGTTCTTAAACAGGGTTGGATCCAAGAAGGTGTCTAGTGCTTGGGCCTGGGGTGGGGGGAAGGTGTTAGAGGACTCCAGGAGCTCCTGCAGCCCTCCCCAAATGTCCATCTTTTTCAGATGGGGCTCTGTCTGGGGAGCATCCACAGGCTGTCTTTGGGGTCTCAGAGCCTGCTCTAAGCACTGACCCCAGTTCCTCCATCCTGTGGCCAGCCTAGGGCTCATGGCATGGGCCCCCATTGGGGGAGGGAGATATCTTGTTTCTTGCCATTCCCTACAGGCCAGCCCTGTCCTCCTTTCCCTGTTCTGCCCACTCTAGGGAATAGGGAGGGGTGGAGAGGAGAAGGAGGATCCTGGAGGACTGGGAAGATCTAGCATAAAGAGTCTTCTCTGAGGGCCAAGGCCCTACACCATGCCCCTATGGCCAGGGGACTGTCTGCCAGCCTCCCAGACCCATGCCCTCCTGACGCCCCTGGCACTGAGGCACAGATTGTGAAGGCAGATGCCCCTCAACCCTCCACTGGAGCCTCTGACACCACAGGTGCCCTGGAGCCCTTGTGTGACTCAGCCTCTGTTAGCTGGGTGGGTGTCACCAGCCCCTGCCTCCCAGGCCAGAACCTGAGAACGGGCCCAGGGTGCTTTGGAGATCAACTTCAAAAGAGCTAACCCCTTCCCACACTCCACCCACCCACCTACATTTCCTCTGTGAAATCTACCTCAGAGTTGTACCCTCAGAAGGACGGGTAAGCAGGAGGCCAGGGGGTCCCCAGGGCTGAGGTGGGGAGCCTTCTACGGCGAAAGCCTGCCACCCCACAATGAATCCACCCCGCTCCACTGCGCGCCTCTCCCAGGTCTCAGCTCCGGGCGGGGAGCAGTGGCCGCTACCGACAGCGCATGTCCCGCTCTTATCCAACTCTTCCAGGCCCCACCTCCCTGCACCCCTCCCCTCCATAGAGCAGGGGAGTGAAGGGGTGTGTCGGGCGGGGAAGGGGCCAAGGACATGTCTTTGTACCCTGAGCATCCCCAGGGAGGGGAAATGGGGAAGGGGGCCTGGAGAGGGGAGGTGGGGCCCCCTGTGCTCTCTCAACAAGTTAAAAGTCCAAATAAAACTTACCTGTTCCATCTGTGCTCAGTCTGTGCCCTCTGTGGCTGGGGGCAGGGCGGGGGGCGGGTAGAGCTCTTGGTAGCAGGAGGTCTTGGAAAGTGTATCTCAAGGGACTATGACCATGGGAGGTAGACACTGGGCAAGTAGGGGATGCACGGGGCACCCACATTCAGAGCGGTTCTGGAGGTGTAGACATGTAAGTGGTTGCAGATGACTTGTGGCATGGCAGTCATTAGAACAGATAGATAGATATAAAGCAGCCACCCAGCCCCGAGCAGGCCTCTTGAATTTCCCACCCAATAGGTCTGGCCAGTTGAGGTTCTAAAGCCTTGGGGTTTATCAGTAACAGTTATGTCTTCATCAAATGATTTCTGCTTGTCAGGAACCAGGCTGGGGCCTCAAAGAGGAAGAACATCCGTGTTCCATGTCCTCATGGGTCTAAGAACAGGGGAGGGCCTGGGTTCCAGGCTCAGCAGCTGCCTCAGAAGTCCCACAGCCTGGAAGGTCAGAGCTGGGTCATGAACCCATGACTTCTGTCCCAGCTGGGGCTGTGCCCTATGTCTGCAAAAAGTGCTTCAGTGACTTGTTCATCAACTGGGTGCCTTTCTCTTCCATGTGGCCGTTTTCGGTCAATAGTTCACTTAAAAACAAAACAAGGACAGAGGCAATTGCTCATTGAAGGTGTGAGGTTCGGCTCTAGAGTCAGGGCAAATGTGCCTTCCCATTCAATGCCAAAGACCAGACGCCTGTGGGAAGACTTCCCAGTCACTCTGGGTTCTCTGTTGCAGTTAACAGCTATGCTGCCTTCTCAGAGTTCATCCAAGCTCAATTCCACCCACAGCCAAGTCCTGAGTGCCAGGAGAAGTTTGACCAGCCGTCCCTATGTGACACGGGTTCATAGCCCTGGGAAAGAAGGTTTTGGAACCTTTGACATATGGGTGCCCGTATAGTGCCCCCTGCTATTTCTCCATCTCCATGGAGGAAGGCAGCACCCAAGTTTCTGGACCTGGGTGCCTTTTGGATCTTTGGAAGCACTTAGGAGACGTGCATGAATGAATAAGGGTGGTTTAGGGATACACGAGGCAAAAAGAAATCCTGCTGTTGAGAAAAGGCGCAAAGGATAGCTGGGAATGAGAGTGCAGAGGCAGGGGGATGACCCAGGTAACCACCGCTGGTCCTTGCGCATGTCTGAAGGTGGGAGGGAACCCAGGTGTCCTGCAACCTGGACATTCTCCTGTCACCAGGGTGAGGGGGAGTGTGGGGACACAGGGCGCAGGTTCTGGCAGCTTGTCTCCTTGATTTCTAGGAACCTGGGAGAGGGCTCAGGTGCAGGGCGGAAAGTTGCTGGGGGCTGGGAGGGAATGCTGGGAAGGAGAGAAAGCTAGTGTGCCCCAGTCTTTAATTCTCTAATCCTCCCCCCTGCCCCTGCCACCAAAAGGAGAGGACATGGCGTGGGGAGCTGGGAAAAGGCTAGGTAGGGAGCCCTGCCAGTCCTCATCCCTTCTCTCTCAAGGACTGTGATCATGGAAGGACACTTGCTACTCATTACTCTGTGGAGACAGGGAGGCAGGACACTGGGGCTGAGAAAATGCAGAGGCAAAGGGGTCTCTAGGCTCCTGGAAAGGGGAAGAGTGTGGGAAAACTGTGGCAGGAGCAAGTGGGAGGGAAGGAAGACCTCTGTCGAGGCTGGAAAGACACACATGGGGGACCCACTCACTCTCCCAAAGCCAGACATGCACAGGTGGGGGAAGACGACTTCACAGGGAACAAACCCCCCTCGGGCGCATCACCACATGCTGTATTAAAGGCCAGTGTCCCACGGTCTCTCTGGCTATACCCCTTCTCCCCACAGGGTTTCCGCAGCCAGAGCTACCAGGCCATGGAGACCCGTGCTCCTGGCCTGGGTCCCCATGCAGGCTGTGTCAGGCGATCAGCTGAGCACAGCAACAGCTCCTTTCAGCAGCTGGTGGTGTGTGTACGTGCACAAGTGTGCGGCAGAGTGTATGTCGGGAGCATCGGATCCTAACAAGGGGAGGGGTGTGTGGGTGAGTCAGCCGTGTTAATCAGAAACACCTCACCCAGCTGATCAGGACTAATGAAGAATGGAGGGCGGGGGGGACTCACTCAGTGATGTCTTTTTAGGGTAGGGAGAGCAGGACAGTTCCTCCTGTCCCATCTCTCCCTCAGCAAGGACAGGAACAGACCAACTTTGGCAGCCACAGGAAGAATAGAGGTCAGACATAAGGATGAACCACAAGGGCCAGGGGGCCCTAGCTGGAAAGGGGTGAGCAAGGTGTCTGAGGCAGTGGCCATGTAGTGTGGGGAAAATGTGTGAAATCCTCCAGCACCTGCCCCTATTCCTGCACTTCCTCCACTTTCTCTGTTTTGACTCCAGAGACATTCTCGGTGCTCAAGGCTGTGCCCCCTGGTTACCTTCTGAGAGCCAACCCACATCTGCAGAGGGCTGCGAGCCATGCTGTTCAGGGGCCTCCACCCTTTACACCGCAGCCCGGCAGAGAGGGCTCCGGCTTGAGGCACTTACTGGTTTGTGCATTCGCTGTTCATGCAGATGCCATGTAGATGCCATGGGGCTCTATGTAATGACCAGGGAGGGGTCTGGCAGGGCTGAGGGCACGAAGGGGCTGTGCAGGGGGAACCTGGGCATCAGCTAGAGGCCCTCTCGGCTCCTGCCCTTCCTTGCAGCAGAGGCAGATGCCCCTGAGAACCCAGTCTTAGCCCACAGCTTCACCCATCCTGCATGCCAATTCAGCCAAGGGCAGAGTCACCAGGCGCATCTCACAGATGTCCTATTCGGCTATGTGAGTGTGGGCATGGGGGAGGGGGAGGGCTGAGGGGACAGGATGGGTGTCGGCCAGCACCTCAAACACCTCCTAATTTGCATTACCACTGACACCCTTCTTGACCAAGAAAATGGAGCCAGAAATAACAAGGCGGGAGGCGATTCCCTTGGGGGGGACTTTGAGTTTCCCTTTCCTTGCCTCCAACACTCCCACGGTGCAGGGGACAGGAGGTCAGCCCCACAGCAGGGCCCTGGGCAGGGGAAATGCACCGCTGTGGCTCATCCCTCTCCAGGTTGGGCAGACACCTCTTTCTAGCTTCCCACTTCCCTCAACCCCAAACACCTGAGCCCTGACCTTTCCTTCTTCAGAGCCTTCCCCACTCTATTCCTCTAGGAACCCTCTCCCTGGCGCCCCTCTGGCAGCTGTAATGACTCCAGCTCTACCTAATTGGGGAGTTGTCTCTGCCGGTGTTCTCAGTCTGTGTCCTGCCTTCCCCACCAGAATCGGCATTTTCCAGGGCCAAGGTCCGAACCTCCCCTGCCAATCTGGAACTAGCTCAATGGACCATTCTACATGGGAAACAGGCCACACAATAGAGCAGAAGGGCTTGCGATGAGATTCTAAAAATGGCATGAGGTAAATCCGGGTCCAGTGTGAGACTGTGGCTGTGTGGAGCGGCAAAGGTAGACCCCCGTTCCTGCAACCCCAGGGACTCCCAGCTCTGTCAGAGGCCTCTGAGTGTCAGGCAATGGGATCCTGGAGGAAAAGGATCAGGACCGTGGCAGTGCGACACCTTTGTCCCCTGCCCCAGTGACTGCAGCACAGACGCACAGACACATCTGATGCTCAAACTGTGTGGATTGAATTTACTTCCGTCCCAAAGAGGGGAGGGAATGGTGTGACAGTCACAGCTTGGAAGTGGGAAATGATGGGCCATGGAGAGCAGGCCACCTCGCTGGCCAAGAGGTCCTGGCACCTGGCAGGGTGAGGTGGTGAGGGTGGAGGCAGAGCAGAAGGGCCTGGCAGGGAAACCAGGTCGTGAGAGACAGCGCGAGAGCTGTGAACGCACTGCGGGAAGGAGAGAATGGTGAACTGAGAACTCCCCCATACCTCCCTCCAGAGATGCTATTTTAGGGGGAGAGAATATATGCAGCGCAGGGGGCAGGGGTGGGGGAGCAGGCTCTCCTTGGGGGTCAGCTGGGCCACTGCTGCCTCTACTCTCCCAGGCATCTTCTTTGGCTCTGGGACCCCTAAGCCCTTCCTTCCTCTCTGGGAAAGTCTTCTTGTTCCCTTGAGTGTGAGGGTGGAAAGAACGAGCCAGGAGATTTGGAGCTGGCCTCTTGGTACCCTGTGAGGGTCCCTGGGGCCTCAGACCTAGGGGTAAGTTTCTATTTCCATTGCTTCCTTGGAAAGTGGGTGTGGAGGGCAGACTGTGAGGCAGGCACGGAGCCCAGTTCAGCAGGCCTGAGCACTTCTTGCACCCAACTCCACACTTAGGTGCTCTGCTCAGATCCTCCCTTAGTGTCAAGCAGGGGGAGTGAAATTTGGTGTTAGAGGAGGCCAGGGCGAAAGGCACATCCAGGCCAGCCGAGCTCCCACCGATAGTCGGACCTCTCCCACTGGGGAGGCCAACCTGCTCCTTGGCCCAAGGAGGCTAGATGGAGATTGCTATCAGATAGAACCCTTGCTTGGCATGAAGGGGAATTCTTGCACCCTAGTTCAACCCTCTGAAGGGCCCTGACTCATTTTGGGATGAAGGCTCCAATGCCCTGTGGGTTTATGTGGTGGCTGGGGGCAGGGGTGGGCAGGGTGGGTAGGGGATGAACAGAGACTTTTGTTTTCGTTTTTGGAGCTGGGTTGTTTCTCCACCTGATCCAGCTTCACCTGAAGGAGGGTGTTGGCTGGAGTGGGAGGAAGACCCAACTTCCAGCCTGGGAGGTGCTGGGCACTGGCTGCAACAAAAGGAACCTTGGGTTAAACTTTAGGAAGAACTTCCTGGGGACACATTTCCAAAGAACTGAGGGATCCCGTCCCCTGGATATTCACAGCAGATCCCTCTAGGGCTGGGGAGCTTGGCCTGGCCTTGGGAACAGAGGCAGAGAGGTGAGCAGAGAGACCCACTGTGGGAGGCGAGTGGGTGGCAGAAGGCTCCAGGCAAGAGGGATGAGGGTGGGTCCAGGCGTGAGAACACACAGGTCCCCAGGCCACAGCCTGGGTTAAGGGATC